GTGAAGGTAGTTTATGATTATTTTATTTTATGGTTTTATGTTTTTGATAGCAAACATCGGTATTATTATTGTACATATTAGCGAATAAAGATTATCATTCATCTTTTATTACTATCGAAATTGGGTGTATTTTGAATTTGAATAGTTTTGTTGTCATGCCATTAACCATTGCCACTGTTTTTTTAATTATATTACTTATTCTTATGCTATGTTTTGCTAGTATGAACACTATGAGAACAGTGTTGACATTACACACATGGTGTACTAATATCGTGGGATGGCAGTCTAGCTGCTGTTACTAATGGTAGAAAGTAGTCTAGCATGTACTTTATTGTATCTCGACCAAGGTGACGGTGAGCCAGGTGCGCAAAATGTTACGCCATCTCGTTTGGAGCGCATGCGCGTACCGTCGAGAATAGTTCACCTGGTAGGTTTCATGTGCAGTCGGTACGATGTCCAGGCTGCCACGGCGCCCAGGTAGAGTCGCAGGCAGAGCGCAGGCAAGCGGCGTCGAGCGAGCCGAGTGCGACGGTGTGAGGGCGACCCGAGCCCCAGGCACGACGCCGGCCGGGTTACTACACGGCTTCAGGATTCGTGCAAAAAATGAGTTCACCGCTGATGTAGTGGCGGTCGCTGCCACACCCGGAGCCCCCGGGGATGCCCACGATCCGAGCCCGTATGAGCGGTGATGGGAATGCCGTGCCCAGCGCCGCCCGCTCGGGAAGTCCTGCCTCGCTACGGCTTTGGCACTGGCGACGCTGAAGGTTCCCTGCCACTGATACTTGCTGGAGGAGGAGGTCGTGCGCGATTCCTGGTATCTTATCGTCAGCTGGCAAATTCCGGACTTGATACGCAGGATCTCCCGGTGCTGGCGATGGAGGCGGCGCCCCTGGCACTGGCACTGGCGCCATGCTGCACTCTGCGCACTGGCACGGCTCGAGGCGACCGAGATAAGGAGTCGCTGTGTCAGCCTGCACACTGTCAGCAGGGCGCCGCCTACTGCTATCAGTGCTTTGCTGACGGAACTGAAAGTGAGGATGAAAGTTAGATTCGTAGAGTGAGAGTTTCAGGGATTCTGAAAGAAAGGAAGAGACTCACCAAGGCTAACGCTGCTAACTGATTGCCATTTTATTTGTTGACACGTATAACATCAGTGCTTCTGAACCGTACAGAAGTATTTTTCATTTGTTTTGGTTGCAAGGGACCCACAAACTGCACGAAATTAATTTAGCATAGAACCGCGTACGTGTATCATTAGTTGTGCTTTGGTTCCAGAGAGACGCCAAAAGACAAGACTATTTACTTTAGTCCAAGCCTCGGCATTCTTATCTAAAACACACTTCAGGTTTACTGCAGGTCGACACTTTCATCCTGCGAATGCGCATTGAACTGCAGGTTACGGCTGATGGTCAGAGTCCTTAGCTCTTTGTTATTCTAGTGAGTAAGCGGATGAGTACGGTGAGTAAAAGGAAAGGAAGGGCTTGGTTCTGAACGCGATGGTGTTGACGGCGCCCCTCCCCCGATCCGGATATTCGGAGCTGAGCAGGTGATGAATCAACCCCGTGTTTCCCAGCCAATCAAAACCTGTCTGAAGGAGCACGGAGACCCGGGGTGGCCTTGAGCTCAGTGGCAGATGGACAGTGTGTTACTGGTGTGTTCCCTCTGCCCGGCTCGGTCGACACCTCCGCCTCTCCTCGCATGCTCGTGGACGCGCTCGTGCCTTGTCTCATTTGCCTCACACTCCCTTGCCCCTCACATCGCACCCTCGTTGACTCATCCCTTGACTCACACGTCCCTTGGCTCATTTACCGTACACTCCCTTCCCCTCATCACATCCTCGTCGACTCACTGACCCCTTATCACCTCTCCTTCCCCTTCCCCCTCATACTATTCTCACCCTCACACCCTAACCCTGCCTCACACCTTCGACGCTCTGCATCCTAATGTCCCATCACGTAAGGATGTGGCCAGGGGAGGAAGTGGCGGAGGAAGACGGCGATCAAGGGAGACCGCGAGATATGCAGCGTCGAGAGGGAAGTCAGAGGCGGAGGGAGGAACTTCAGGGGCCGGAGACAGTGAAGTCGCAAGGGGGAGTCAGGGGGTGGGGGGGGGATTGTCAGGAGAGATCGGAGGCGTTTGAAGGGGGGTGAAGTGAGGCCCGGAGGAAGAGTGGGCAGCGAGAGAGAGGGAAAGACGGGCTTCGGAGTTATTCATAGACGGTCGCGTCGTAAATGAAGAGGTACGATCGGGTAGAAACGGAGCGTGGTTGAAAGGGAGAACGAGAGAGAGTAGAGAAGGACACTTAAAATTGTCCATGACATGTGGGGCTGGAGAGAGGGTCGGTGTCCCGCGCTGATGGTGGCCGTGCACAGACTGAGGAGTAGCGGCCGGATCCGTTGTTTTAATCCGTTCCTTTGAATCCTGTTCTGTTTCCTGAAATCAAGCTTCGTCGAATCCGAGTTTTGAAAACCCAGTGTATGTATTTCCAAGGTAACACATTGCCTTGTTTTAATGATCCAAAGTCAGAGCGTTTCCTCTAAGGCGTAACTTGTATGTTGTTCTCCACACTAGCTTCGATTCACATTAGCATCCTAATTGGTCATTCGAAGTCGATGTGGTATATACTTATCGCCACCCTTAGATAAACGAATGAGTATTATTCCATTTGGGACTAAACACGAGTGCTGTGATGAACATCGATTTTATGATGGAAATATGTGTCTACGAATGATAAGCCGTAATGAAATGCGATCTCACGAACGTATTATTCTGAATCTATAAACATTTCGAAAGACTGACAAGATCTCAAAAGTTTGGCTTGAAGAGGAGGGTCTTCTGCGGGAGGAGGTGCCTGAGGGAGGAGGTCCTCGGTGGCGAGGGGACCGAGGCAGCGACGCGAGGACCGGAAGGAAGGCAGACACCTCGGAGGATGTTCAAGCGGAACCGCAGCGGCAGGAGTCATGTCCTAGACGCCACTCGTCAGGATGAAGAGGCCGCCGCTGCCCTGAACAAACGGCGGCGTCTCGAGAGCAAATCTGGAAAGTAAATGATTCGGTGCCATTGCCTCCCGGGGACGTGTCTCTGGGCTTAATGACTCCTCTCCCCCTCCTTCCTCTCCTTCCTCTTCGCTTCCTCGTGCGTGCTAGGTGGTCAGCGGAGGATCTCTCGGGCCGGGGCCTTTATCCCGCTCTTATCCTCGGCGCGCACGACTCCTCCTCACAGGCATCCTTCCTTATTCCTCCTTGCGTGCACGGCTCTCCTCCCTCGCCAAACCTTCTTTCCCCTTGCAGTGTTTCGCTTTCTCCCTTTATCGCACGCCCCTTGTATATATCATCCATGCTTTTATATCACAGAGAGACGTCTTAGCATCCATCCCTCATCTCTCGGATCTTCTTCAAATCTCGAGCACATTTTCTCTCATCTTCATTTTTGTTCTTGGTCTGTCTCTTTTGATTGTTGCTATTCTCTCGTCTTTTCAATGGTTTGTTTTTGTCTTTCTTGCTTCTTGTGTGTTTCCCTTGGGTGCATATTCCGCAAAAGGGCCCCAGGTTACGTTCGAAATCATGGTGATTACTGGAAGAAAATCGCGCGTTTTTGCTAATAAGAATTCCCATCGTGTGGAACTTCAAATTCGTATAAGGTTACATTCCACAACCTTTGACGGTACGGCACTCATGAGAAGTGAAACTGATTTTGTTCTATCTTTATCTCACGTTTTTGTCTTTCTTGTGTTACCGTCATCCCAGCTCAGTGTGTCGCATACCTCGCCGTCCGAAGGTCAGCGCTGCTCGTCGGTCAGCCGTCTGGAGATGAGGCCAGAAGCGCATCGGATCTTTCGATTCCGCCCACGCCCTTCCGAGCAGCAGAAGGGCCCCTCGCCGTCGGACTGCACAGGCACACGGCATGCGACCCAGCAGGAGCGCCGGCCGAGAGGAAGCGAATCGCGCAGGAGGTCTGGCGAGGGAGCGGGCAGCGCTGGCCGGGAGGAAATGCCACGTGTCGGGCCGCGCGGATCGGATAGTCCTCCCGTACCTTGGTTATGGGCTTTTCGTGTTGCGGTCGTGTGCGGTCGCGGGCCTGTTGTTACGGCGCGATAGCTTTCAGTTGCAGCTCAATAGATTAGCAGCAGCTGAAAGTTTGCTTGTGCAACACACACTCACGGATGCCCGTACGTGCACGCATATACACGCGGTCATAGACACTCTCTCACTCGCTCACTCACACACACACACACACACACACACACACACACACACACACACACACACACACACACACACACACACACACACACACACACACAACACACACACACAACTTACATTTACTCTCACACACATACGTACACATACAAACCCATATGTTTGTATATATGGGAGGAGGGTTCACAGGATTCCCAAGTTTGTCGCGTTGAATGTCACGACTGAAAATAGCAGCGGGAAATGACGTCACTGCGGTCCGAGTATGCCCATCGGGTTCTTTGTGAGGCGGTCGTGTGCGCCGATCAGGAGACCCGCAGGAAACGCGTCACGGCCGAGCCCCGCGCAGGCTGAGCAGACGGAGGCAGGGAAGTCCTTCAGGAGGCGACTTAGACAAAGGGCGCCGCCGGGGAGGTCTGGAAAGGAAAGGCTTGTGTTAGGAGGGACAAGATTCCCTGCAGGTGACAGTGATTAAATCCTAGACGAGGCTAAGGAGAGACAGGGCAGTGTATCAGGGACAGGTATGGCCAGGTACTAGGTCAGGGGTACCATTAGGGAACATGTACGGTTCAGCCGCCTTCAGGATGAGTGGGTAGAGACTAAGGGCGCGGGCTGAGGGATTCCGGGGATCAGATATGGCCAGTTTAAAAGGGACTAAATAGGACTGAGAATTAAGTGTTGGAATGCGTGAGGTATGGGCCACAATAACCCACGCTATCTCTCTCTCTCTCTTTTTCTCTCTTTCTCATTCCATCCTACCTCCCTCTCCCCTTCCCTCCCCCCCTCCCCCCTTCCCCTCTC